ATTCCAATTGGAATTATTGGAATTCTTAGAATTCATTCTAGGATTCTAAGAATTCCAAAAATTCCAGAAACAGAATTGCCAGGGAATGCTGGCCAGGCAAGGATTTTCCAATAGTTTTAAGAGTTGGAATAATTCCAATTGGAATTATTGGAATTCTTAGAACTAATTCTAGGAGTTAGAATAATTCCAATCTAGGAATTTGAATAATTCCCATTGGAATTCTTAGAATTCTTAGAATTAAATTCTAGGATTCTAAGAATTCCAAAAATTCCAGAAACTGAATTGCCAGGGAATGCTGGCCAGGCAAGGATTTTCCAATAATTCTAAGAATTTGAATAATTCCAATTGGAATTATTAGAATTCTTAGAATTAATTCTAGGAATTAGAATAATTCCCATTGGAATTATTAGAATTCTTAGAATAATTCTAACAATTAGAATAATTCCAATTGGAATTATGAGGCATTGGAATAATGCCAATTTGAATTATTCGAATTCTTAGGATTAATTCTAGGATTCTAAGAATTCCAAAAATTCCAGAAACAGAATTGCCAGGGAATGCTGGCCAGGCAAGGATTTTCCAATATTTCTATTAATTGGAATAATTCCAATTGGAATTATTGGAATTCTTAGAACTAATTCTCAGATTTGGAATAATTCCATGGAATTATTAGAATTCTTGGAATTGATTCTAGGATTCTAAGAACTCCAAAAATTCCAGAAACAGAATTGCCAGGGAATGCTGGCCAGGCAAGGATTTTCCAATAAAATTGGAATAATTCCAATTGAAATTGTTAGAATTCTTAGAATTAGTTTTAGGAATTATTGGAATTATTAGAAATCTTAGTTAATTCTAGGATTTGGAATAATTCCAATTGGAATTACCTAGGGCTTCAAGAACCTGAAAAAATGTCGTACCCTGACTGAAACATTTTGTTTTTGCTCGATTTTCTAAAAACATCGTGTTTTCAGGAAAAACATTGTTTTTGATAAAACCCTTTAAAATTGGCTTCTGAGGCCAAACACTCATTTGGTCAAAGGCAAGGGTCGGGAGTGGAAGTCACACAGGCATCACCCATTAAGATTTCAACTGAGGGCAACGCTCTATGCTGAGTATGCTTCAAATTCTAAGGACCACATTGATGAGCCTGAGAGCCAGGGTGTGCAGCTGGCTTCAGTTTTTAAGTACCTTTCACAGCAACAGGCACCTGAAGACTAGGGCCAGGTCATACCGAACCAGTTTGAAGGGGGTGCTGGAATCCCAAAGCTCCTTTTAATGCAAAACAAGACCAGGTGACACCTTTTGAGATTGTTTTTATGATTTTTGAGTTGTTTTTGGAAAACGGGGCGGGATCCTGGCGGCTAACCGGAAAAACCGTAGAAAACCCGTAGAAGCCCAGAGAAAACCTGTAGAAACCCATAGAAAACCCGCAGCCCCAACCGAAAACATCGTGTTTTTGGAAAACATCGTGTTTTCTAACCCGTAGCTAAACCGTGGAAAACCCGTAGTAAAGTGTGGCAAACCGTGGAAATTCTATGGGTTTTTCGGGTTCAACCACGAATGCGCTAATTCGAGATCGTTGCCGGAAAACAACGAAGTCGTGAGCAAAAGTCTTTGCTTCAGCTTGCGCGCTGTTCGAAGCCAGCACGTGGCATTGCTGCTTGACAAGTGTCATAAAACCGTGGTACTTTTGACTATTTGGGTCCCCGGCCTCCTTCTTTCAGATTGGAGTTGCGAAAGACGAGTGGCGAATGCGAAGCTGATTTCGTTACGAGCGCAAAAGGGGAGGGCAATGGGAGATTCTGAGGTTGAGATGATGCTTTTGAGATCTTTTGAGAACGGATGACGAGTTGAAGGAATGTATGGGAAAATGCTTGAAATCGAAAATGCCGTGTTTCCCGAAAACATCGTGTTTTCCCAAAAAACATCGTGTTTGTTGTAGGTATGACATTTTCATCGGTTTTGAGGCTCCTGGTATTGGAATTCTTAGAATTAATTCTAGGATTCTAAGAATTCCAAACATTCCAGAAACAGAATTGCCAGGGAATGCTGGCCAGGCAAGGATTCTCCAATAACTCTAAGATGTCCAATAATTCCAATTGGAATCATTCCAATTCCTAGAATTTCCAATTGGAATTATTGGAAATCTTAGAGTTTATTCTAAGATTTGGAATAATTCCAATTAAAATTATTAGAAATCTTAGAATTAATTCTAGGAATTGGAATAATTCCAATTGGAATGATTAGAGTTCTTAGAATTGATTCTAGGATTCTAAGAACTCCAAAAAAAACAGAAACAGAATTGCAAGGGAATGCTGGCCAGGCAAGAATTGCAAGAATTCTAACAATTTGTTATTCTAAAAATTCCTATTGGAGTTATTCCAATTTATGGAAAAATCTACGAATTCTAAAAAGTCCTATTGGAATAATTCAAATCTTGGAATTCATTCTGTAAATTCTAATGGTTCCAAATGGAACTATTAGTATTGATTCTAAAAAGTGGAATAATTCCAGCTGGAATTACTAGATTTCTTAGAATTAATTCTAGGATTTTAAGAATTCCAAAAATCTAAGAATTCCAAGGGTTTGTCTCTGGAATTCCTGGAGCTCCTGGAATTCTTGGCTTGCCAGCCAGCAGGGACAAATATTTCCTAGAGGTCTCTCACACATATATATATATATATCTGTATATCCTAGGTTTGAGTTTGAAGAACGACCAAGGCAACCATGGGCTATATTACACCCGAGATCACCGGAAAGTTCCCGGGCTATCTGAGCCCTTCCGCAGGCTTGAAGTTCGCGGATGTGCCCAACGGATTGGCGGCGATTTCCAAAGTTCCCGCTGCTGGGTGGGGACAAATCTTGGCTTACATGGCCTTCTGCGAGGTGTCCCAGGACCAGTCGGCGGGAACTCCTGCTGCAGCGGGAGACTTCGGATTCAAGGTGCTCACCGCGTCCGACCCAGAGGCCAAGAAAACTAAGCTTGCAGCGGAACTTGCCAACGGACGTCTGGCCATGATGGCGATCATTGGAATGTTCTTCCAGGAGACGTTATCGAATGACTTTGTGTATTCGACACGTGTTTACCGGTGGGTTTCAAGAGTGTTAGGCTTCTAACCACTTTGCGGACGCACTGCATATTGTGTGAGTCATCGTGGACGACAAATGTGAACTTTGTGTTCTTTGTGTTTGCCTCTTTGTGCTTGAGTTTGTCTGCACCAACCACCTCATGCTAAACGCAAGTGAGATGCCATGCCCTCTGTTTTTCGAATCAGATCACACTTTGTAACACTGTGCAGTGCAATGCTGATTGCCAGTGACTATCTGGACCCTTAGAATTTGCGAACCTTTGCGGCATTATTCGCATGTGCTTTCTGCATCTTGGTTTTTACGACATCTAAGTAAACACAGAAACACACACACACACACACCTGTATGTATGTGATGTGATGTGATGTGATGTGATGTGATGTGATGTGATGTGATGTGATGTGGTGTGATGTGATGTATGTGATGTATGTAATGTATGTATGTATGTATGTAATGTAATGTAATGTAATATAATGTAATGTAAATGTAATGTAATGTAATGTAATGTAATGTAATGTAATGTAATGTAATGTAATGTAATGTATGTATGTAATGTAATGTAATGTAATGTAATGTAATGTAATGTAATGTAATGTAATGTAATGTAATGTAATGTAATGTATGTAGGTATGTATGTAATGTAATGTAATGTATGTATGTGTGTATGTATGTATGTATGTATAGATGTATGTATGTATGTAATGTATGTAAGTATGTATGTATGTAATGTATGTATCTAGGTATGTATGTATGTATGTATGTATGCATGTATGTATGTATGTAATGTATGTATGTATGTATGTATGTATGTATGTATGTATGTATGTATGTATGTATGTATGTATGTATGTATGTAATGTCATGTATGTATGTATGTATGTATGTATGTATGTATGTATGTATGTATGTATGTAATGTATGTAATGTATGTAATGTATGTATGTATGTATGTATGTAATGTAATGTAATGTAGTGTAGTGTAGTGTAATGTAATGTAATGTAATGTAATGTAATGTAATGTAATGTATGTATGTATGTATGTATGTATGTATGTATGTATGTATGTATGTAATGTATGTATGTATGTATGTATGTATGTATGTATGTATGTATGTATGTATGTATGTATGTATGTATGTATGTATGTATGTATGTATGTATGTATGTA